TGCTTGTCACAATATTGTCTAATACTATACACACTAGCTTGCTGTAATAGGTATCAGTAGGTCTTGCTGGGCGGGGCCATACAGCAATAAGTGTGCGGTGCTTGTCATAATGTTGTCTAATACTATGCACGCTAGCTTGCTGTAATAGGTATCAGTAGGTCTTGCTGGGAGCACCATACAGCAGTAAGTGTGCAATGCTTGTCATAATATTGTCTAACACTATACACGCTAGCTTGCTGTAATAGGTATCAGTAGGTACTGCATGGTGGTGTCATATTCAAAGTTTAAGGGGTTGGGTGGGGAAGGGAGTGGTAGGGTTGGTGGGGTACCGTTAGGGGTACATACTTATTTATACAATGGAAGGGCACTTCTTGGGTTTAATAGTCCTCATCTTGAGCATAAGGTTTTATCATTTTAAATCATGTCACACATTAGCTATTTACTCATAAATTTCTGGTATAAAGACAAGTAATAATACTCAAGGGAATGACATATGGTTTGAAATGAAACTTTATGCTCAAGCTGAGAAGGTCTATAGTTATTTATGCAACTATAATAATTGCTTAATATTTGATGGGAAAACAATGGCTTTTTTAAACATTTTTTTATTATTCTGTACTTACGCTTTATAATGAATTAATAATACTTTTATACAAGAGGCAATAAGCATGTACTAGCTTGCAAGATACTAAATCCAACTGCAGTATTAGCATGTAAATAAATCTAAATTTGATTTAAAAAATAATCATCAAATCATTCATAAACAACTAAGTGGTTATAAAAATTAAAGTATAAAAATTTGATTTAAACATAAACTTACCAACAATAGATGATAATAATTTAAGCATGGCTAAAACAGTTGATATTTTGTCTGAGGTTTTGATACTATTTCTTTGATTCTATTTCTTTTTGCTTTGCTAATATTCTTAATCATTTTAGAGGTGAATTTTCATTTCTGCTTGATTTCTCATAATCTACTTGTGGTTTTCGAACTTTTTACTTTTCTAGTCTTTTTCTTTTTAACACATTCCAACAAGAGAGCATGTTATGCTGGGTCTTGTTATATTTCTGACTGTTTTTCATCTTTCAACACCATTTTGAATTTTTACATGGTTTTTCACCTTATGATTAGTGTATCAATAGTGTGACAAAGCACATAAACAATCAAAATGGGGTCGAAAGAGGAGTAACAGCCAGAAACGTAACATTAGACCCAGACTTGCTTGCTCCCTTGCCTCTAATTCTAAAGAAATACAGCATAATGAGTTAGATAAAAATGCAACTATCTTTTACTCTCACAGTATTAAGTTTACTTTCATTAATATTTTTGTTCTGTACCAACATTTCTAAAACTGGCATTTTATGACATAAAAGGTTCAAAATATTCTTTTTAGTAAGCTATAATATCTTTCAAAAATGCCTAATTTAAAAGAAAAATCTATATATCTATCAATGCTATTTATAATTCAGAGGGTTTTTTCAATCTAATCTGCTTGTCTGACCTAGATACTACTTCTACAACTTTCTCTCCTAAACTGCCTGAAACTGTTGCCGATACTCTTCCTACTTCTACTTCTACTTCTTTTTCTACTAAACTGCCTGAAACTGTTGCTGCAATGCCTACCCTTCCTGATGGCATATCTCGTAAGTGTATTCCACTTAATAACTGTTATGGATACCCATCTAATTGATGTGTCATTGAGATAGAGACTTCGTTAGCAGGGTATACTTTGGAGTATCAAACATACTTTTTGTTAAGTAACTTTTAAAACATTGGCTAATCATGCTGGCTGCCACTTTTGTCACATGCTTTTGACATTTTACATTTTGAAGTGAAATACACTTAAGGAATGTCATTCGTTCATAAACTCGTAACAACTAACTTTCATATTCGAAACTAAAATTAATTTCTAAACGAATTCCTTGTTAATCATTCATTTTATGTTAAACTAAACTTAAAGCAATCAGCAACACTCAATTTGTTTTGCTTTTCTCATTCTTTATTCATTACATCAAAACATCCATTTTTTACATTGCATTTGTTATGTAAGCTATCTTTGCTTTCTTTGTCATCAATTTTTCATGGTCGTTGCTCAACACCAGGGATGTTTTTGGCCATTTTTTGGCTCGTTCACTTATTTTTTTCCATGCATACTTGCATTTAATAATACAGACATTTCACTGTTTTTCCCTAAAATTCTCTTTCATTCATTCGTTCTGAATCTGGTTACATTATCTCATTCTTTTACAGTAATCAAATAAATTAATCGATAATAATAATGGGAATTAACAGTGGTTTCCACAGAGTGGCTCTTCCACTGCCAGGGCTCAAACTTATATTTTACAACCACCACTCCCCATGTTACAGGGCCCTTCTGACTACCACTTTATTCTCTATTTACAACATATGACAATCAAATCACATGTTGATTTTTGCGGAGGRAGGAAACCAGAGAACTTGGAGAAAAATCCCCGTGGCAAGGGAGAAAACAACATATCAAACAAACTCACATATAATCCCAGACCACATCAGCGAGAGGCGAGCAGTAAAGCACTATGCCACCCAAACTGGAGAACCTGGAGAAAAACCCTCAATGCACAGGAGAGAACCAACAAGCAACACTACTCACATATGACAAACACAAGGTCACCTTGGTGAGAGGCGCGTACTCTCACTGCTATTGCCACCCATGCCTCCCATAATCATGCATTTTTTGAATCAATGATATACAGATATTGTTTGTAAGCAATACTTGTATCATTATCCAGATGAATACAATTCGTTCTCTTATCACAGGATGCATCTCATTTCATTCTCCACTTTTTAAGTCCATTTGCATCTTGCATAATATTTGTATGTATTTTGCACATTGTTTGTATGCAATACTTACATCATGATCCAGATGTCTACATTTCATTTTCTTTTCACAGGATGTATCACATTATATTCTTCATTTTTTAAAGTTCCATTTATTTGCATATTTTATAATATTTGTATGTATTTTGCATATTGCTTGTATGCATTCTTGCATTCATGATCCATGTCTACATTTCATTCTCTTATCACAGGATGCATCTCATTTCAATCTCCATTTTTTWAAAATTCTAGTTGATATGCACCTTGCATATCATTGTATTTGCATATTATTTGTATGCATACTTGCATTCATTATCGTCAACCTTCATTTTTTTACAAAAGGAATCTATTGGATCATCCATTCATCACTTTCCTCAGCATTGTAGTAAAATTTATATTAACTCTAGTTTTTCTGACTTCCATCCTTCCAGAAAATAAAGGAACTCAAGGCAAGTCTTTATCTTTGTTGACCATGCATAAAACCACTTATTTAATATATAAATTAACTGAAGAAATTTAAAAAGACTTCTTTAGTTGTCCTCAATTTCAACATTTTATATATCTTGCATTAATTAATATTGATTCACCAAACAAGTTTTAAATAGATGGTGGGTATTTAAGATTATAAACACTATTATTACCTATTGAAGGCAAAATGGATAAATAATAAAGTGAAATTATTAAACCATACCACACTACATTCCACCACACCACAAACCATACCACACCACAAACCATACCACACCACACTACAAACCATACCGCACTACATTCCACCACACCACAAACCATACCACACCACAAACCATACCACACCACAAACCATACCACACCACACTACAAACCATACCACACCACAATCCATACCACATCACAATCCATACCACATCACAAACCATACCACACCACAAACCTTACCACACCACAAACCATACCACACCACAAACCCTACCACACCACAAACCCTACCACACCACAAACCCTACCACACCACAAACCCTACCACACCACAAACAAAGCCATAAATCATACCACAAACCACATAACAAACCATTCCAAAAACCACACCACACCACTTTTTACTCTGACAAACTATACTGCATTAAATTATTGTTACACTGTCATTACCCATACCAGACAACACCAACTAGCTAGCACTTCCTACACTACACTATAAGACACCAAACCACATCACAGCACAGTGCACTACTCTTAATCATTGAGCAGATCTACAGTTTCTTTAAATTGAGAGATACTTTAATCACTATTTAATCATAATAATATGTATAAGTATAAGGAAAGCTCAACCTTAGTGAAGAAGAAGGGTGCATTTTAATATGGAAAAGTTTTCTCCTCATCCTGCAATGAAAATAGAGTTTTAAAAAAATTCACAGATCAGAGTGGGGATAGTGATTTTATCAAGGTAATGTTGAAAATTTGCCAACTGTTATCATTAGAAGTATACATTTAACTCACTATTCCACTTCTGATTGGCTAAGAACATTCGGCCAATCCTTCATAATATGTGAACTTAAAATGATAAATGTATTATCTGTGTAATAAAAAGTCGTGATAGGGCAATAGGCAATAGACTGACATCTATCAAAGAAATTGCTCCCATGTACTTTTATGTACATATATTTGATTGACAAATAGTTCCCTGGGCTATCTTGAAAGGTAGCCGTGCCTTTGCATCGAAGCGAGACGAACGGTGAGCTTGCAATGATAGAGGGATGCGAATAATTGTCCAAGGTGTTAAAAAAAGGTCTCTATCATTACATGCTCACCGTTCGTCTCGCTTCGATGCAAAGGCACGGCTACCTTTCAAGATGGCACAGGGAACTGTGATTGGGCTATTGGTAGTCAATTCCTATTTGTTAAATGTGTGGTGGTAATACAAATTAACATTACCTTTGCAACTCTCAGTGCAGCAAAATAAAATGTACAATCTTGCTTCTCATAGTATTGACCTGATCCACCTATTCATAATATTTTCCTATCTCAAACCATGTGACATTCTCTCGACAATAACATTCTTTGTTTGAGATGTATATCCATATTCATGTATCTTCTGATGCTTAGCCATTAAACATAGAAATAATACTCAAGAAAATGACACATTGTTTGAAATAAGAAAATGGGATTAGATCTATTGAACCTGATAAAAGCCCTCAAAACTGAAGGTATAATCGACTACAATAATATCCTGGTTCTTATTACTGATTATGTTGTGTTGCAGGAGGACCAGTAGCTGGTGAAAGAAAAGGTGGATTAAGCAAGGGAACCATCGCAGGAATCGTCATTGCTATCCTTCTCATTGTCCTCATCACTATCGACTTGTTCTGTTGCTTCTTCAACAGCTGTGGTCTTATCTTCTGTTGTCAACGGGCTTGTTGTGGTGGCAAATGTAAGCAARAATTCTACTACAGTAGAGTCTTGTTATCTCAAAATCCAGATATTTCAAATTGCCTGTTATTTCAAACCTGAGCCCAAGTCCTATAGACTTGCATTCCTAGATATCTTATTTGGAACCTTTTCTCTTGTCCCAAGCAGGGGCRGCTCTTAGGGAAGGGTGCAGGGGTAAGCTGATATCTACTGCTTTATTGGTGTTTGAGTTTTTAAGCAAAAGGTGAAAGGTGCAACCCCCCTCAAAAAAAAAAAACAAAAACGAAAATCCTGGATGGAGCATTTCTACAAAACTAATAGAATATTCTATGTTTGTTGTAGATTCTCCAGATGGAAAGTCTAAAAAAGATTCTGCAGAAATGGAAAAACTGAGGTATGTAAACAACATCTTATCATCATTACCACCACAGTACCATCATCATCATCATAAACACAGCTACTACCATCACCATCACTTCTTCTTCTTGTCATCGCTAATCACCACTACAAATTACAGCAGTGGCACAGATCAACAGGGTCGAACTGAAAGCATAGGAAGGTGCCTTAAAATTGCCATCACAGTAAAACAATCATCATCATCATCACCATCACAGTAAAACAATCATCACCATCATCATCACATATCGGTAGTTCTTTTGTCCCATACTAACTTGCTAAACATAAGTGATACTAACTTTAGTAGATCTCTTCTCATGTGGTATCAACCAAGCAGTACACAGGTTAAACATGACAGGCATAAAGGTTAGGTAATGTTAGTACTGAAATACAGTGGTTAGAAGTAGATACAAGGTAAGTAGGTAGCATACTTTGATACGAAATCCCTTACTGTTTTAGAAGTTTTTATTTTAGTTAATCAACAAATAACTTTACAGGGCTACTACAACAGACATTAGGTAGACAGGCAATAATAACAATAATAATTATAATAATTACACAGCTTCTCATTAATCCCATATAGGTAACTGTCCAATTAGTATATGTAATAGGACTCCATGCTGTCCAATTAAGACATAATTGGATGAGGAAAATTCCGAGGACTGACAAAATTGGAAGAGGCCGTAGGCCAAAAATAATTGGACAGGTCTTGTTGATATGGGATTAATTAGGCAGCCATATAATTAATAGGTAATGGGATTTCATGCTCCCCAATCAAGAAATGATTAGACTCGAAAAATTCCTCTGACTGCCAAATTGGACTCGACCTACGGCCTTGTCCAATTTTGGCAGTCCTCAGAATTTTCCTCGTCCAATTATTTCTTAATTGGACAGCATGGAGTCCTATTACATATACTAATAATAATAATAATAATAATAACTCACCCTTTGATATCAGTATTTCTGTCAGTTAGAGCATGTAGTGGTTTTATCGAAGTTCATCTAAGTTAATTAGAAATTTCAAAAAAAAAACTTCACATTTTATCGACATTCGCAAACAAACACTGGGCTGGTCAAAGTCAGGGCACGGCTACCTCCAGAGCCCAGGGCACTATAATGATGTTATTTGTTGTTAACATATGACTGTTCGACAACAACAATACAACAGCTACAACACCCCCGTCCACCATCCCAGTACCATCCCGAATTCTTCTAATTTGATTGTTTTATTTTTTTCCAGTAAAAAACCAGCCCCTGAGGACGTGTGAGCCTGCAATCCTAATACCTTGCCTTCCAGCGGTTCAACATATTCAGTGCATGTACGCGAAGAAGGCACTTGATTTTGCCTGCTTATTATGTAAGGACATTTTGAGCTAAAATCTAATCATTCCATCAAGATAGAAATTCAAGGCCTTGTAGATAGAGTCATTCTTGTTTGTAGGTCGACCTTTTATTCCTTTTATTTTAATTGCATTTTTTTTAGAAACTTAAATATTTTTACGTCAGTTTTTTCAAACATACTAATACATAATAAGGCCTAGACACCAAGTCTCCGGCTTCATCGGGAGGGCAATTTCCCCGGGTATTTAATGACGTCATAGTCTATATAACATTTTGTCCATGATGTTAGTTGACGTGACGTCATCTTGACGCCTTTCTCCCCTCCCCCTCTTCCTCCAGCACAATGCTACTCTTCATGTTTCTGTAACCTAGGTAACTCGTGCACTGTTACCTATGTATGGAAACATAAAGAGTTTGAAGTCTTGTTGCTTGAATCAAACAGACGTTCACAAATTGAAAGCTTATCTGGCTTTTATTCATTTAGTGTGCATTCTCTAATGAGATTAGGTCAGTATTTCGTCTCTCCTTAGTATCGTTATCATAGAACAACCATTTTGAAGGGGAAAATGTTTTCAAGGCAAAGATTTAATTTTACGGGTTGCCAACAAACTGTATGACTTGTCGCTTAAATAGCTGAAAATATTATCAGGAAATACAAGATCCGTAATCATTTATAACCACGATTGAATTCTCCTGATTTTTGAATCTCAAACTTTCTGCCCAGTCGATCATCTTAAGTGTTTTCCAAAAAAAAAATCGTCAAAGTTCATGTTTTATTAACTCGCAGTTTTAAAATCGTGTTTGTCTACTGTACATCGATCCGTTCTATTATTCACAGCTACTTCGTTTTAGATATATTCAAACAGTTATTTATATTAACAACAAAATTGAACCAAAAAAATACCAAGAATACGAACCTATGAAGTACAGTTGTTCTCTTTGATCTTATTCTCAGACTTGTGATATAACGACAAATTTTAAAAGCTCCTTTCGATCCATCCATCAGATTTTAGTTTTCGTTTTATCGGTTCTCAATTTTATCAGTTTGTTTGTGCTAGCTTTATCATCTACTTATTGTCTGCTGAGCCTGCGGTCCTTATGGACTCCGCTAAGAAGCGAGGTGTTCTGGGAAATGGTAATTCCGGTTTATTCTGATTGGTTGGTTGGTATTTTTTCATGAACCAATCACAAAGCTGTGGGACTTCCTCTTTTTTTGGCGGAGAGCAAAAGGAACGCAAGCTAAAGATAGTGATTACACTCATTGATTTAGGGTTTATGTACCAAGCGCAACGTTTTTCGTTGCGAAAAGTAAATACGGGTTTTGTATTGTGAAGCGCGCAAAGAAAATCTGTTGCGCGCGGAGTAGTAGTACGACCAGCGTTTGCTGTGTAACTTGCAACGAGTCAAGTTACAAGAGTTTTGCCGTATGACTTGATTTTTCGTTATTAGACAAAGTACCATCCAATACCACGCGAGTTATCGTCGTCGAGGCAAAGTATGCCCTGGTGGACGTCAATCAAACTGTTTCTATGACAATGACAGGAAAGAAGGGCACGCCCCTACGGAATGCAATGGAAACGTCTTGAATGACGTCCACAAGAGCCTACTATATTGCGATTGCGTGCGTTATTGGATTACGAGTGTTACGATAAACTTGTAGTACATGATGGTCGACTGTATGATCTCACCTATATACTTGTTGCTACTGCTGAAATTACTCTTGATATGCAATCATTACCAAGCGAATGAAATAACTAAAGACATGGGGCCATGTTGGATGATGTAAAATATAACTCCTCCAACATGGCGTCCGTGTTACACACATAATGAAGATTGCTCAAGTAGCAGTTCATTTTAACAAATTAGCTTAATGTTATAGTTCTGATTTCTAAATCTAAAATTGATTACTTAAATCATATTTAAGTGGATTTAGAGGTAGTTAAATGTAAAAACACGGTCATCAAGTCAACGACTTGAATCCTATGTAAAACTGAAAAATAAGTATTAAAAAAATTAAAAGAAATGGCGTCCTTTGATAGTGGCACATGGAAGGAAGAGATAGAATGGGATGCGCGTCATGCGAAATACGTTTCCGCTTATTATTATCTTTTTTGAACACAACTTCGTTGCTTTCACAACACAGCAGAAACATTCTACATTTCCTAATGCGGAAGAGGCAAGTGGTTAACGAATTGCGCACAATTTTCAACTTAAATACTTCGATGCGTTTTTGTAATATATATTCGGTTCACTCCTACCTAGAACACGCATGCGTAGTCTGTTGAGATGTAAATATTTGCACCAATCACATGGTTCATAGTTCGACTATGACGTCATATATGACATTGGAATGATGTAACCAGTTTCAGCGAAAGATGTCGGGGTTATTTTTGGTATTTCTGTTGACTGGTTTGTTTTTTCAAGAAGGTTTATGTTCTGGAAGTAAGTAAAATCAATTTAACATTTTTCAAATACTTTGCATTCAAAATGAATCTAACTTCAAGTCACAGTGCTTTATGCATCCTGAGAGACTGAAGACTTGAGCACGCGTAGCATAAAAACTTATTTTCCCGCGAGCATTTGTGAGTGYTTTGCGCATTTCCTGTAGAATTAAACTAGAATTTTGGAACTTGTGAAACTTTCTAAATTACACTTTAAAAGCAAGATAGTAGAGCTCAAAGCTTTTCGACTTCGACTTCGATTCTAGCTGCGCGCTCTCAGTACTACACTTTAAAAAAATATTTTTTTCATTTATTTGCTGTAGTTCATCACCCTCATTTCTCAAACGCTCCGTCAAATCAGGCACTAGTTAGTGGTGAACCAGGAACTATAATATGTGAAGTAAGTGGTAAACCACTCCCTCCCGTCCCAAGATGGAAGAGAGTTACTGGAAAAGCCGTGGAAATTAATATTAAAAACTCTACGAGATATACAATATTGAAGAGCGGTGGATTAAGCATTGGTCACGTGACAGAAGAGGACGCTGGGAAATATGTTTGTTTTACGTCATCAGGCGACGTATGGATGGATAAAGAAATACATGTGAAAGTAATAAAAGGTAATGATATCCTAATAATTAATTTGAATTATAATTAAATTATAGATTTTTTACCTGTAATGTTTCGTACGTGCAGTGCTGGCTATGCGTGTATTGCGTACTTAAGTTATTTGCAAAGACGGAGATAAGGATTCTGATCCCCAATTAACCTTTATCTATGATCCTCAGAAAACTAGGGGTAAAATTCTTCCGCTTGTTTATCGTTAGCGTGACATTTTGAACAAGCGTGCTTTTAAAGCAATATCGCTTCAGCCCTTTTGGGATTATATAAATATATGGATCTAACTTCTAATTACGTAGAGTCCGTACAGTGGAAAGTGGTGAATATCTATATGATAAATTGACCCTTCTCAAAAGTATCCTGGACACGACGCTAACATGAACTATAGAAAAGAAATTACACTTTTTCTCGATGGATGTGTGGCATTTCTTTTGTATTTCCATGTCACACGACAATTTTAAGAAGGGTGCATTCCATTTTATGAACCCTTTACTCAGAAATAAAACAAATATTTCAAAATGTCACGCTATCGTGCTAAAGGCGTTACATATGATCAATCCCTATCTGTGTCATATCTCTAGTATACATAGCTCTCCCTGTGTGTTTTTATCTACTATTGATACACTATTTTGTTGTTTATAGCATCCGCCACGCCCTTGGTCATCCCTTCATTAGATTATACCGGTCTGTACGTGTTTGTTGGCATTCTTGCTGCGTTTATCTTCTTTATTTTGGTCGACTTTTCCTGTTTTATCTTCAACAAAGCAGGTTTTATCAACTGTTTTCTTGTTCATCGTGAGCGGAAGAGAAAACAGAGATTTTCTGCTATATGACGTTTTCCCAAAATATTTTTTAGTACATCCTTAAGTTCCTTTCCTGATTATTGCTCACTAAGGCTGTTTTTTTTCTTTATCTTTACCAACGAAAACGCTGAATAAAAGATTGAAGACTTCAAAGGTTGTTTATTTTACTGCAAGCACATATTATTAACTTTCCTTGAACTTTGTGGAGGGAGGAGGCCACTTTTCATAATTGCATTGAATGAACTTAGTCTATATCTTGAATTGACGATAACTCCCTAAACAAGTTTACAAAGTAGGCCCTACACACCCTTAGAAGTAGCCACACCCTTATTCTTATCTACCCCTTTTGGGTAAATGATATTTATTATATGTACTTTTTGTGGATCAATAACATGACTGACTCGCACCGTTATAAAATACACACCCCTTCAATAACCACACCCTCTACCCCTATTGCGACTGGTCTGCAATATTTATACCTTGTTGGGTCGTTATGGTGAGGTACTGTATATGTACCTTAACGAGTCAATGGTAAATAGGCACCCAAGATGCTTGTAGTCAAGATAGCGTGAGTGTTTTATACAGCTGAGGTAGCGTTCATCATTTAGAGGGTCGAGCAATAGGAATTAAGGGGGAGGATGGTGATCCAAACATTGGTAGGTCACGATATTTATTCGAATTCCTTTGAAGAGAGGAAGGCTCGTTTTTTCTGTGATAGTCCATATAGATTCCCCCTATTACCATCCTCTCCCTCTCTCTCTCTCTCAAATTATGTCGATCTAAAAAGGTGTTAATTAAGAAAATCACACATTAAATTCCAGTGTTACCTTGGAAGTCGTCCATCCCTGGCGACTATAAAAGCACAAAGATATCAGAACTGAAGCACAATTTCAAAACACAATTTCTCCTTAAAAACCAATTTACTTGCTTATTTTCGTTCCCTTTTAATGTTTAGTATTGATGCTATTAATTAATCTGCTTGTTACACGGGGTTTATTTCCATGTAGTTATGTAAATAGCTACACCCATAGACGATAAAATCAGCTCTAACTGACCTATAAACAAATTGTTAGCGCGTGAACAAGATATAATACACAACGTCCACTGTCACTCCGGTCCATTCATTTACCTCTAACAACATCAAGAGCACTTCCAACATGCTGTTTTACGGTTTGTATAACATTAACTCCAAGCAGCTTTTCCCTCAGACAGGATTATCTAGCTATAGCTGGCCTCGTCAGTCAGCGTTCAAACTACCATCCAAGAATGGGAAGAGGTTTAAAAGTTTTATGATAGAAGATATATTGAGCGATAAACAAGAAACAGAGGATCTATTGACTAGCTCGTCATCTTCGAGGATATCAGGTTAGATTTTTAATAAGTTTATAAATGGTTTTCAAATATGTCTTTTAATTCAAATTGTTTAATGTCGTAGATTTCTAGACCATTTCATGCAGCGCGCAACTGTTTCCCGTAGTTCTACCCCTCAATAATCCAAACAGTTTCCTTTATTTTGCTTCTTTCCTGTATAAAAAATGTATTGAAATTGCCTTAACTTACAGCTTTTACTAGTACATCTAGTGCGTGACTGATGTCCGTGAACACGCGTCCCGTCTACAATATCCCAAGTATTTCACAACGCACAATTCAAGAAATTTCCCACGCTTTTTTTTTTCAAAGTAGAGCTATACTATTCGTTTGTTTTACTTCCTTGTAAGCTTCCTCCTAAGTTTGGACAGAATTTCAGAGAAAATAAAAATGTGCCTCAAAAAACCATTTCTTAAAATTTCTTGCACAATCTTTATTTTCTGTGATAATATTCATAGCTTAACCTAATTACAATTCGCTTTCAGCCTTTCAGCCTCCCCGTGAGTCTCTGGCTGTTCCGTCATCTGTTTTTCCAGTTTTTCCTGTCAACTTCCACAACAATATGCTTCAAAGACCAATTCCTCGAACATGTAAGTTATCGACCTGCTTTGATCTTATCTAAGCTGAACTATCCAGTAAAAAACCTGTTTTCGTTTCAAAGGTAATTATGGATCTACAGCTCACCGAAAAGACACCGACAATGTACCGAAATGTTTCCGAACGATCCTGAAAGAGAGCCGCAAGAATCGTCGAAATCGAACGGTGTTTTCGCGTCTCCAAATGCAAAAATTAGAAGAACACTTTGAAAGAAAGAGATACTTGTCTTCACAAGATAGGAATGATTTTGCCAAGTCTCTCTCTCTGACGTCTTTACAAGTGAAGACTTGGTATCAGAATAGGAGAATGAAGTGGAAGAAAGAAATGCTGAGTATTGATCCATCAGCAGTGACTACACGAGCCAAAGGCAGGCCAAGAAAAGGCGAGTTCTAGAACTACACCGGACCTCATACTAATAATGCGCTAGAAAATGTAAAATATTCTATTGAAGATTTGCGGTTACTGCGATTAGGCTAAGGCAATATTGGAGCCATCCGCGAGTTCTGTTTCAATTATTTGTTACGTTTTATCACCGGTTAGGCTGTGTATATTAGTACTTATAATGTCGGGATGGTAGTACTAATTAGCCTCCGTTGCAGACGTCCTGCGGGGTTCGGTTCGGATCCCTTATGCATATATAATTAGCTCCGGGAATTTCAGAGCTGATTTTTGATTGGCGGAACACAAAACCTCGCTCGAGTGCGCAGACGTTTGTGGGGGAGGGATCCGAACCGAACCCCGCAGGACGTCTGCAACGGAGGCTAAGTGCTAATAATGAACATCCATTATTACGTAGATAGAAAAGAGTGTGCGCATGAACAGTTGGTAACATCCAATGAGTATGGACATACATTATTACGTAGATAGAAAAGAGTGTGCGCATGAGCAGATAGTAGTGATCATTAGGAAGATTGTCCGCATCGGCAGATGGTAATACCCAATGCGCCTGCGCATCAATTATTACGTAGAAAGTAGTGTGCGCATGAGCAGAGTAATATTAATTGAGCATTCGCATCCATAATTACGGAGATGAAGCAGAATGTGCGCATGAGCAGAAGATAATACCAATAAGCATGTTCGTCGATCATTACCATTAAGAGTTTGCGCATGGGCGGAAGGTAGTACCTAGTTTGCATGCGCATTCAGTATTACCTTTAGAAAGTGTGTGCGCATGAGCAGAAGGTAGTAGTGAGTATGCCAATTGTTGGTATTCGTTTCATGAAGTGTTTTGTTTTGGAGAAATAAAGTTTGGAAGCTGATAATTATATACTGATTTTAATATTTCAGGTACTTCATAAGAATTTTGTATTCTGATTTATTGAGTTACAATTTTCTTGACTAGCACAAAATTTCATTTCGTCCTCATCAGATTTTATTAGTCACTGTCGTAATCTTGTCCTCTTTCCAACAAGCTTTCATCCTCTCCTTTTGTCTTCACTGAAAAAAAAATTCCTTGTCGGTAATCATTCTAACAAGATATGCCATAAAATGGAAAAGATTATTCATCGTGTATATAAATCAAATGTTATACTAATCATTTGTCTCACGATTGTGGCAGTTGAGAGGACCGATACGTTTCGACTGCTACTGCTAGTCTTGATCAGTCGATGGTGTATGGTGTAAGATATGCCATATGCTGCATTGGGTGTTGGGTATATTATACTCGTGCAGGTATTACTTACATATGTTGTGTATTTTTCTTTTGTTCCTATATCGAACTATGAAGTGTGTAATCCCCCGCTTACAGAAGGCAAAAGCTGCAATATCAGTGACTATGAGAAGGAGAATAATTCCAATGGACATAGTGACGGTGGATCCAGTGGAAATATCTGGACAAGAAATTCAAACATAATTTGTTAACATAACACCCTTCTCAAACGAAAACACTAGGCGAGTGTCTTCCTCAACCCAGCCAGCTTCGTCAGGTTTTGGCGAATTGCGTCTCGTTGAAAAGTTACGAATTTAACCTGCCAGGGTTTTTGAACGCGCCCATGTTTTAGAAAAGATTATGTATTTTCTTTAGCGCGCGCTTTACGTTTTTTCACTCCAGTATATTGCATAGAATAAGCACCTGAATTGCTATGCAGTGATAGCAAAGGGCGTTCTCGTTTGTTTGAAAATATAATGTTAAGAGCGCGCTTTAAAATTTCCAATGACGCAGTGGATTTCATAGACTACTGTAGCGCAATCTACTTACTATAGGGTGCTGTGCAGTGATATCCGTCTGGTCCTTTATAAACCTCTGCTATTTTATGACCAGTATGACGATCCACGCACCAGCAGCTCTGAAGATGAATGGAACACTGTATCCTGTGATATGAACCATCGGTATCGCACTTGGGTCTGAACTCTAAGTTTAGACGAGGATCTTTTCCGGCGATCAAGTCCTTCTGGCACTGGGTCTTGTCTGGAAGGAAATTGAAAGGAAAGGGGGGGAAATGATATCATCCATCCATATCCCTCCCTCCCTCCCTCCCTCCCTCCCTCCCTCCATCCATCCATCCATTATTCTGTCCACCGAGGAGTTTATTTGTGGTGTAAAATAGGCTCTCAGAAATATCACACATGAATACCTGATGGTTCTTGAACTAACTCAATAACAGCTTCTGCAAATCCATTCTCATTTCTGACCTTACAAACATATTTTCCAAAGTCATCGCTACGAAATGGCGTGACATGCAGCTTCGCTATCCCTGGTGTTGCATTATCTGTCTTTGTCACGCAGCGCTTGCAGTCCTTCAGTGCGTCACCATCTCTCATCCAGATTGCATTAGGCGTTGGGTACCCGCTGTAATGGCAAAGTAAGGTTCCTTGGGAGCCGACTGTAGTATAAATTTTGGTTGGGGTCTTCGATGTGTCGATGTCTGCGGGACCTCCTCTATTCTCTCCTAGTGAAATATACAACATTGCACCATTTTCGCTATGAAATTTCGTATAGAGTGGTGTTCGTGTGTGAAGGAAACGTACTGTACTGACTTGAAGTACGCACACGGTACGACATGCTTTATAGATTTTATGATATGAATGGCAAATGTACGGTAAGGACTTACAATACGTACACGGTACGACATACGTTATAGATGTTATGGTATGAATGGTAAATGTACGGTACTGACTTACAATACGTATGCGGTACGACATGCTTTATAGGTGTTATGGTATGAATGGTAAATGTASGGTACTGACTTACAATACGTACACAGTACGACATGCTTTATAGATGCTATGGTATGAATGGTGAATGTACGGTACTGACTTACAATACGTACACGGTACGAATCACAGAACGTATTAAACCGTACGATATTCCACTGCCCAAAAAAGGCTTCCGATTGTTGTTATATAAATTATCCAATGTTAAAGATTAAATCACTAAGGCCTACTGGGGCAAACGTCGAACTTTCGATGCACCGAACTCATTAAAAACAATGGATATCAGGTGATAATGAGGTGGCATTCTTTGATGTAATTAAGTTCGGTGCATGGAAAGTTCGACGTTTGCCCTAGGCCTAACACTAAAAGACCTATTGGATCATAATAGAGCGAGGCAGTAACACAATACATTCGTTCTACGAATTGTTTGACACCAGAAAGTCCTTGCGGTCTATCTACGGTCAGTACGGAGATCTAGCCTTTACCTTACCCAATCACAAACTAAAGTTAGTGTTAACGGAATGGCTGCATAAGCGAATTTCTTTCCCGTCTCCCAATCTTAATAAAATCTATAATTTCCTCATTATCAAAAAATTCCAAAACTTGCGCACGCTTCCCTTTAAGCTTCACAAATGAAACTCTAATAATATTAGAAAAAATTAGAATACAAAAATCGTGATACGAACCTCTAACCGAAATTAAGCAGAAAGTTACAAGAACATGGACCAACATGAAGACTAGAATAGAACATTAACACGCTTTCTATGACATCACTATTACGATGAGTTAATGAGGGTACACAGGAAGCCCAGACCCGAAAAAAACATTACCATGTAAATGACTTGCGTGCATCACGCTTTCTATGACATCACTATAACGATAAGTAATAAGAGTATACAGGAAGCCCAGACCCGAAAAAAACATTACCATGTAAATGACTTGCATGCATCACGCTTTCTATGACATCACTATAACGATAAGTAATGAGAGT